TTGAGCAGCAAATGTTTCCTCTGGGTATGAGTGATTCTCTCACAGTCCGCTTCTATACACAGTGAAAGATTTACACATTATTAATATAATCATAACGGTACACAGAACATTCTTCATAGATACATTACTAACACTGAAATCCCCCCACCTCCACCATGCTACAGCTCAAACTCTTTTAAATAACAATAAAACAAAGAGAAACACAAGTATAACTAGAGCACGCACCATGCCTAACTACAGATGGCTTCAACCAAACCTCCATCCACCAAAGAACTGCATGAACCTGTCTGAGTACACAACGACAAAGGAATTATTAGCTTCATTTGGACAGAAGCCAACTCAATCAAATCAACTTAATGTGCACTCCATTATTTAAGCGTATTAAAGATATTCAGCTACAGACATCAGCTCGTACTTATTGCTTGCAGTACATGTCCATATTGCTTTATCTGCTACTCTCTAAGAATGACACTGATGAGGCGTTGTGTTTGATTGTACATCGAAAGACTTCATTTCAAAGTTTCTGGTGCGTTGTTAAAGCTGAAGTATCAACCTTTTAGTGAATTTATTTTCCCCAAGAGTGTGGTAAAAGCAGAAGTTTGTGACAATAATCAGACCACTTCACTCACAGAAGACACTTTGGTTTGAGATCTGATTGGCTGATTCAAACCCGGTCCAGGAATTTATACAAACCACGTGCCAAAGGGTTTGAAAGTGTAGACACATTTACAGAAAGTGTATATTTCAATCACAACTGAACCTGAGTTTCCATTGTCTTAATTTTTAGCCAGGTCTAATTTCCTCAAAGTAAATAAAATATCCAAAATCCCCTCTGTATATTTTTAGTTTTTAATATGACACAAGAAATTCAAAACAGGCTCTTTTTATGAAAGTCCCAACAATTCTCAATTTTGGCACTTTTTACACATAAAATGTCTTAGTTATTCAATGAAAGTCATGGAATTGTAGTATCTCTTTCACGCAACTAAAGTGTTCTGTTAAGTTATCATTAGGCTATTATGATTATTTTTGAACGTATGCGCCTTTTGTTTAAAAGAGACGACAATAAATGCACTGACAGTATTTTGAATGTTAAAAATGTATAATCCTGTACCATAAGAGGAGTGGACATTTCATAACGTTTCATATTTAGCCCTAAACATATGCTCAATTCTACAGAAAAAAGAGTGGGGACCCTATATATGAAAACCTTACCTGATGAAAACGTGTAATACATTTTGTTTTTACATTTATGTGCGTAAACTCCATCAGTTTCAAATTGATATTTCTAAATTTAAGATTTCTTCTATTCACCTGCAGTGTCTCACCTTAACCTGACGACAGAGGACACATACAGGTTTTTTTCAATCTCAGTATATGGACAGGCCTCATGTTAAAGCTCAGAACCTCCAGAATTCCCTCACTAAGCTGCAGAGGCTGCACCAGCACTCAGTCATGTTTGGCTGCACGTGCTGGGGTTTAAGTTTAGGGGTCCCCAACCCCCGGGCCGTGGGTCATTTGGTACCAAGCGGCAAATGTCCGAACTCCCCCTCCCATACGGTGCGTGGACCGTCCGATCGTGACGCGGACTGCACCGCTAAACCAGAACTAAACCAGGTCTAAAACCAGGTCTAAAACAGGATTTAGCCAGGCCTTAACCATGCCACCCACCACACCACCTCCTACACGCAGCCTCCCCCCAACTACCTCCAGTCTGCCAAATGTTGTCTGATATAAAACCAGTCCATGATGCAAAAAAGGCTGGGGACCACTGATTTAGAACATTCAGATCAGTTCTTTTAGGGTTTAAAGTGGAACTAAACACAAAACTTTTGCTTCCAACCTGTGTCCACAGTGTTTGAACGGCATGGACTACTGTTCTTGATCCTTTCATGTGCAATTTTTAGTTTCAGTGTAAACTAGGTCAATTTGCAGCTTTCTAGTCAAAAACTTGAAATTGCAAGTACTTGGTGACATCACACAAGACTGCCCTGATTACAGAGAGACGTTTCTGATACAAACACCTGTCTGCAGGGGCGGACTCTGAAGTGTGGACACCTGTCAGACCAATCACACTGTTCCTCACTTGTCTAGAGCCCGCCCTCTCCTCTCACTCTCTTTCTTTAGTCCTTCAGAGTTACTATTAGGAGTTTAATCCCACTTTAATTAACTGGATTTCAGCTTTGGAAATGGCAACCTGAATGAGAGACTCGTGAGGCTCATTCTGTTTTCCGTTAATATAATCGTCTTGAGAACCAAAACACCAAATTATAACAAACAAATTTATGTGCAATGTTTTTACAATTAGAAATAAATCAGAATTACACTTGTGATCAGTAAAGGCGCGATTTGATTTGAACATTTATATGGTTGGGGACTTACTTAGGTCATGTTCTTGTTTAAAAATCAGGTACTCCAGCTTTAAAACGCACAGTAGTTTAGTGTAAAACTATATTTAAAATGATTGCTTTTTAAAAATCAACTCTTAAGAGCTATTAAGAGTGTGCAAACATGCAAAACATCAACCATCTATTCCTCTAATCGTAACTACAGTGCAGTGCCAATAACATTTGAATGGCTTGTCACGCTACACACTTTGGATTGGCCCACAAAAGCTATTCCGTACACAAAAGTCTATGTTCACAAGGTATAAAAATCAGCCCTATGCATAATATAGCCCCTTATGAAATTTTAAAAAGAGGAGAGAGGTTTCAAAATGTCAGCTCGGCCTCCTAGTGCAAAAATACAACCCTAAAATGTGAATATTGATGATTCTCTTAGGGCGTTTGTGCAGTGTGTACCTCAAAACTTTAAATTATAAATGGTTCATTTCAAATATACATACATATTTCTTAGCTTATTGACAATCCCTGCCAGAATAACTATTGCGGTATATCTTGTACTTAATCGTTCATATTTGATTGCACCGGGTAATTTGAGCTGTTAAGTGTTGATTTAGAGGTAAACCAATAGGCCCCATGTTACTTTGTCAAGCCCTTCCTTTATCCAACAATAGCCTGGTCTTTCTGTTTTATACACAGAAGTTGGTCTGGTGTTCCAAAACGTGAATTGAATCGGCAAAAGTGTAAACAGTCAGAGAAATAAGTGGCCATAGCGTAAACATAACGACTGGCATTTATTTTTTAGAAACATTTTTCAAGCTTTAAGTTGGAACTCAAGAGTAGCCATGGATTGGACCGACTTCTTGCTGGTTTAAGTCTGATGTCGATTCAAAAGCTGTTTTAAAAGTGCATTGCGTAACTTTCTTGTGGAGGGTCCGCCATCTGCTTTTTGATTTTGATTACGACTTCGATTTGTGTGTCAAACAATCTCCAAAGTCATATAATCGAGTTGAAACGATTAAAGCTTAACAAAGTTTATTTTGGGATATTTTTTATATAAATAAGTACCGTATTTTTCGGACTATAAGTCACACTTTTTTTCATGGTTTGGGTGGTCCTGCGACATAATACTCCAGTGCGACTTATATATTAAAAATGTTCACACTGACAGCTGCGAGAGGGCGCTCTAGGCTTGTGTGTCAGTATCTGCTGCTCCTATTACTGCTGTACCACTGTCACTGTCACTGCTCTACTGCGCATGTCTCCTGCAGAAAAAGCCGCTGTTCTGTTGCAAGTAGTGAAATATGCAGCCGAAAATGATAATCGAGCAGCAGAAAGAAAGTTAGAAGCGAGAAACTTGTGAGGGACTGGTGGAAATCGAGGATGGAGAACACAGCTTCACGACAACTGGGCGGGTGCACCATGCAACTTTCCTGGAAGTCACTGGATGGATCGACAAAGCCTGGACGTCAGCGACAACCAAAACCACCCCTTATAAAATAAATTTCCCCCAAAAAGTGAGACTTATAGTCTGGTGCGACTTATGTTTTTTTCTTCTTCATTATGCATTTTTTGGCTGGTGCAACTTATACTCCAGAGTGACTTATAGTCCGAAAAATATGGTATATTTATTTTATTTTTGAGATTGTATTATTTAGAGATTGTAGAACAGCTGGATATATAGTTTATTTTGGATGCATTTATGTTTTTCTATGCCTTATTTCATTTCATTTCAAAGTATATTTTATTAATGTTATGTTTTATACTTTGCAGTACTGCTCTAAGGTACATATTTGTAGCCTATATTTATTTTTAATTTGAAAGCTTGTTTTTTTTTTGGAGAAAAACTGAATAAATGCATCGTGTAACAAAAAAAAATCTTTAAATAATCGTGATTTCTATATTGGCCAAAATAATTGTGATAATGATTTTTTCAATAATCAAGCAGCCCTAACTGCTTGTCTCCATGATGAACAATATTGCGTTGTCTGAATTTTCCACAGTTTGGCATTTAATTTATCTGTCTCCATGGAGACAAGCATGCGATGCCACTGGATCAAGTTATAGGTCAGATCTGTAACGAGGAAAGTCCAAACTAAAGAAAGAATGCATATTTTTTTAGCAATAAAAACAGATGTAACTGAATAAATATTTCAAAGAAAGGTTTAATGCCATACTGTGGAACATTCCTTTCACCTCTAACCCAAAGTTATAACATGCAGTAGTGTAAAGCCAACCAGAAAAGTTGCACAATGCACCTTTAAGACAAATGAAGCTGAGAAAATGTTTACCTACATTTTTGTCTCCATGGCAATGTAATTGGTTTAGTTGGAAAGTTTCACAGTATGGTTTTAAACTTAAGTATCTCCATGGAAACACTCAGGAGATGCCACCAGACCAAGATACGAGTCAGATCTGTGCAGAGGATGACCCGCTGACTGTAGGTGTTCATGTTTTCAGAGCTATAAAAACACCCAAACTTGAATCAATGGTTGATAGATACGTTTAATTCCACACTGTGAGACATTTCTGACCCTGTACCCGAAAAATTACACAATGCACCTTTAAACGACAGCTCCTAAATCTAGAGAAATACCAGACAAACTTTCTGAGTATAGAACACGTTTCAGAAGACCAGGAGCCACCGTCGTTTAACCTTTATTTGCGTTCACTCGGGTAGTTCTCAAACAGCTCTTGTCCAGAGCAGATGAGTCTGTCTGCGGAGCGAACGGCCCCCAGGATCAGGTCCAGGGCCCGCTCCCTGGATCCGGAGCAGGACGGGTCACGTGACGAAGGCCCGGACACTTCCTGGGTCACGGATTGGGTCCTGATGTGGCTGCCGTTGTTACAGGAGAGGAGGGCGTCTTCGGGGAATCGCAGGATGGAGAACTGAGGGGCCCCAGGAAGACTGTACAGCAAGTTTCTACAGAAAGGAAAAGACAAAGAATCAACAATAAAACTTAAAATAATTGATTCTTGTGAGCTAATTTTGCGTTATTAGTTTTGTGTGTTTTAGTTTCCTTTTACATTTGGTTCAGTAAAGATTGGAAATTCCAGGGGGTGGGATTGTCCAAATAATTCTCGGGAAGCTGTATGAAGTTTAAAACCACAGTGGAGCATTTTCTTAACTACCACATGACATCACAAGGTGGAACACAGTGTTATCTGTTTGAGAGAAGAACTCTGATGCCTAAATATGCAAGATTTGTGGGTTAAACATGTGTGAATGAAGCAAAACACAACTACTCCCGGTATGTTTGTGATGAGGAAACAACATTAAAAAAGATCAGAAAATAGTCAACACATGGGACAATTTCAGTCATCCCTGCAAAATGTCAATACTACACTAATCCCTATTGTAACTTTATTGGAGGGTTCGCCAACTGCTTGTCTCTGTGGAGATGTTATTGCTTTGACAGGATTGTTCCGCAGTATGACATACACTTAATAAAGATAAGAGGCTTGGCCATCTGTTCCGGACGTTTCTCTGGGGAAGTGTTCCGGGCATGTCCAACTGGGAAGAGGCCCCGGGGAAGACCCAGGACACGCTGCAGGGACTATGTCTATGTTCAGACTGCAGGGCTTAATGCTCAATTTGGATTTTTTTGTGAAATTCGATTTTTTGCGAGGTCGTTCACATTTCCAATTAAAGGTTGTATGGAGGATTTTTTTTTGTTTCAAGTTGTCAATGATAGCATTATAGAGGTGCAGTAGCCTTGTAATTATGATGACCAAAAAAAAGAGAATAAAAATTCATCAACTCTGGACGTGGTGGGGCTAAACATTTGCCAATAGATAACGACACTGCCTCGTTATCTGTTAGCTGACAGGCTGTCAATCAAACTCCCTACGTTTCTAGCGTAACTGACTTGCCTGCGCGCCGCCGGTACGTGGTTTACGTACGACTGTCACGCAGTCCACAGACGCAAGACGCACAGACGCTGTTTACTCCACCAACGCAACAGTTCTTAGTGGCTTTTTTTTACCTATATCTTCCTCGCAGTTCGCACAAAGTTTGTTGCAATGGCAGACAAGAATCCAGGAGCAGTTAGCCGCAAAAGAAAGTCCATTTTTGAGGTCGCTGAAAGAAGAAGACAAGGGGAAAAGCAGCGAAGCCAAACTAAGGTGATTCTTGAAGATTCATTCCAGCGATGGCGCAACTGAAGCAGACGCAGGGTCTAAAGACTGACGCATTGGTCGCCAAATTACTCCTGGACAGGTCACTTCTGCTTATTATGAAAACGTACTTTATTTCCAAGAGCTAGACAAACGTTTTTCAGGACACGAAAGCGATATCCTATGTCTGAAAACGTAATTTTCAAGGCAAAGAAAGAGTCCGCTTGCTGCTGCGTGTTGTAGCTAGTTCATTCGCACGGAATCTCCGCGCACCCTTCTCTGCACCCCTTTCCTGCTCCTCTCCCCGCTGCCCGATCCACTCTTCCCCCTGCTCCTCACTTCTCCGGGCACGGAATCTCCTCTCTCCTCTCCTCTCTCCCTGCTCCTCACTTCTCGTCCGCGAACGAGATGTCCGCACACCCACTCCCCCCGCTCCTCACTTCTCCGTCTTGCCTAACCAACACTGTAGTTAGTTGTTTACAAGTCATGTGCAGCGCACCGGCTGTAAACAAACCTGTTTCTGGCGTAAAGAGGAGGCGGGAGGAGGCGTTTCTACGTAGGAGCTGTAGGGGAGGGGGGGTGGTTTCACGCATGCGCAACATTTGAAAAAGGACAAACAGTCGCTGGATTTCTCGTTCCTTGGAAAATCCTCTATACAACCTTTAAATGCAACTTGTATGTGATCTCCAGTGTGAACATTAAACACCCCCAAGCGAGCGTGCTCAGTGTTTATGGAAGTCGCCTAAACATGGAAGTGAGCACTGAGCACCTAGAGATTTTAAAGTTGCTGTTGTACCGGAGCCAGAACATGTACAGCTTATTTGCTTTAAGGAGGAGATTGAGAAGGAGAAGGACGAGGTTTTTGGCCATGGTGTTTTGTGAGGCAGTGGCAGCAACATCCGTAGAAAGAAACATGTGGGTGCGGAGTCGCAGCCAAGAGTGGCGGGATTGCGGTGTGCTTCTCTGCTTCACTGACACAGAGTTGATACACAATTTTCGTACGGCGAGAAGAACGTTTGTGTACATTTGTGAGTGTAGGTGGGACGAATATGACCTGGACGTTTAGACTGAAGTCACATGTTAAAAGATCGGATATGTATCGGTTTTAGGAGCACGTATCCAAGTGGCCTGGGTCGCATTTGAAAAATATCGGATCTGTGTCATTCAGACTGTCAATAAAAGATACAGGTCGCTTAGGGGTGAAAAAAAAATCATATTTGGGTCTCTTCAGTCTGAACATAGCCTTAAGTCTCTCGAGTGGCCTGGGAGCACTTTGGAGCCCCACTGGAGGAAGTGTCTGGGGAGGGAGAAGTCTGGAAGTCCCTGCTTAGACTGCTGTCCCCGCTGCTAACCCAATCCCAGATAAATGGAATAAAATGGATGGATGGACAACACTATCCATAACATCAAGTAATATGGTTGAATAAAACTTTAGCCACAGAATATGTTTTTAAATTTTATGTGTAGACGCCTCAGTCTGTCTAGTCTCCAAACCCTGTTACATAATTCAAAGTCCTCAATACTGCTCAGACAGTCTGTCTGAAAACATAAAGTATGAAACATTACCCCGGAGAGCCTTGTATGTATCAGTGTTTGTCTGTTTGTAAGTATTGACACAGCTGATGTCATCAACAGTCCCTGGGGGTGTGATGCTAACTCTGTCTCTCCACATTAAATTAGAGCCACAAGACAGCTAGTCAACAGTTTTTCACTTACTCACACTCAACATTTCTGTTAAAAATCACCTCAACAGCACTAAGACAACTCATACTGATCTCATGCTCCTGAAAATGTGTTGTTTCTTAAAATCTTAAAGGTCCTACATTACACAAAATTGACTCTTGTGAGCCGTGTTATTATGTTGTTACCTCCTCCAATGGTGATACCCCCCCAACTCCCTGAGCAAAAAAAAAAAAGCAAGCACCCGTGATGGACCCTTCAAAGTGCACTGCAAGAATTGGATGTGCCCACTGAATGTCTGGGCAATGCGCAGTGGCGATGTTTTTTTGTTTTGTTTGTTTGTTTTTTTCTTTATTTAGTCCAGGCATGTCCAAACTATGACCCATGGGCCAAATCCAGCCCTCAGACACATTTTTCTTGGCCCCCAGGTGAATTGGCCCAAATTACCTTGCATCAATTAAAAATGAACTTTTTACTGCAAGTTTTCAAACATCTAAAACTAATATTCAGTATTTAGTGTGTGGTTTTAAGGATCTTAGCATGAATAAAGACTGATGGCTCATTCTAACGTGTTAAACATGGACATATTTCAATTCTTCACTGTACTGAGCACCAGTTGATGGCCCTCGATCAGCCTGTGCTTCGTCTGTGTTTAGATATGTGGCCCTTGATGAAAAAAGTTTGGTCACCACTGATTTAGTTTATATCCCTAAAGCTCAGAATACTCTGTTCCACGTTGTGATGTCATGAAGCGGCCGTTTTCAAGTGATCTTCTTCCTTTTACTTTTACTTCAATAGAGATCGCAACTTCCAGGGCTGAAATGATAAAAATTATTCTAGTGAAGGTGTATACATACTGCATCACAAAGTGGGACTGAGTGTTTTCTGTCTGAGAGAAGAGCTCAGCCTCAATATACAGGTTTGTGTGTCTAACAAATGAATAAAAGAAAACACAACTCCAGGTCTGTTTGTGACGAGAAAACAATATTATAACACAGATCAGAAAATGGCATAAAATAAGCCCCTTAAAACTTATTTGACAATGTTTCCTAATGTATCTCCTCGGTAACACCTAAACATTCCACCACTAGAGACACACGTAGAACACCCCCAGCATAATATAACTGCAAACTATCAACCCGTACATACTTCTATAGACGCCAGAGACAGCTCAGAGTCATTTGTAAGGCTCGGGACCTCAGCAGTCTCTCTCTCTGAGCTCGACTGCATTGATTTCTGTTTGTGCAGAGGCTTATGAGCTAAATGGAGTGATTCTTCATCTGCCGGGACACTGTACAACCTTCAGCACGCACTTGAGTTCAAAAACAGTGGTTATAAGAACAATATCTGTGAAGGGTTTGTTTAAATCAAAAGCCTGTGAACGTCTGAGCACATGGAGAAGATAAGAGATGAAACAGAACTTTACTGATGTCACACGGGGGGATTCACTTGTTATGGCAGATCTTAATAAACAAAGTGCAGAAAATGTTATGTTGTAATTTGGTGTTTTGGTCTCTCAAGACTTGATTTAAGGCTACATTTAAATGATGACAGTCTGAACAGAAAACGCAAAAGTGGCATCGCGTCTTCACTTTTTATTCCGCATTTAGACAAGTGTTTTCGAGAGGAAATCTGCGTGCATATGGTGACGCAAAAGTGTGTGGAATTCGATTGGGTATGCAGGTTTCTGTGTATTGTATGTTCCGTATTTTCCAGGCTATTAGACTCGCTCTTAAGCCTCTAGCTCCATCAAAAAATGATCGCAAGCCAGAGCGCCCTATACACGAATCCACTCAGGTGTCCCAGCACGACTTCAGTAAACTACAAAGCCGCACCACTCACAGCGCACGCAAACACACACGGAGCAGACAGCGACCGCACAGTGAAACAAACACCCGCAGCCACACTCATCACTCCACGCTGACGCGGAATTGAACGGAGGAACGAACCAAAAAAGCGAGTCCAATGTGCCTTTCTGAGCCACAACTGAACAACTGAGTCACTGCGAACACGCCGACAATCCAGCGGTCCCAGACAGCACCCTCCCTACAACTGAACAAATCCGAAAGTCACAGTGAACGCGCCAAACAAAGTCCCACTGACCCATCGAACTGTTGTGTTTCGTTT